ATTTCTTACAATCCAATTTCTCTTCCTATGTGTTTTGAAATATTCAAATCTATTAATAAAATATTAACATTATTAATTTCATTATATATATAAATTTCTTATGTGCATATGTTTATGTTGCATGTTATTAATTATTAAAACAATTATTGAACAATCCTAAGGGCTCAATCCTATTCTCGTTCTGCATTTACACAAATTTTTTAAATTTATCTACGATATTATTTCTTACAATTCAATTTCGGTTTTTCACGATACCATATACATATTATATATACATTTATATATTAATATAATAATATATATTTCTTATACACACACACACATATATATATATATATGTTAAACATCACAACAATCTTTTATATCATAGATTTACTTAGAGATGTACATAAATTATTACAAATTGTAATTATTTTCATAAAAGCCTAGAAGGGGTAGATGTAACAACAACAAATTCTAATATATTTACGAATTAATTTTCCTTTAGAATATATTATATATATATATATATATATATATAATACATAATATATCCGTGTGTGGAGAATCGCGTTATTGCCTCGAGTTATTTTCTCGAACGTTTCTTACCTGGGCGTGGAACATATTCTCATGGGCTGCTGTGTTGGTTCATGTGTTCCAACCATACTCTCCCTCGATGTCGTCTCGATGTCCGTTATCACGTCGCCTACGTGCACGTTTATTGCCGTTAATTGCTCTCCATTCTTCTTTCATCTCTCTCTCTCTCCCTCTACCTCTCACTCTTTTTTTTTTTCATTATTTTCTTACACACTTGCAAGTAGGATGGTGTTCTGTACAAGCAAGAATTAGGAACGATCGTTCCTATTCCATGCATCTTCCTTACTTATCCAATGCACCACTTCGTTGTACTAATCTAATGTCAGATTAATATTTATTGATACTGCAGTGTTCAATGTTTTGTTTATGTTTTATTTACGTGTCGAGTTATTTAATGTTTCTTATTTTAAATTATCAGTGCATAAATATATATATATGTGAATCGTTCGATTAATATTATTAGAAAAGGGTTGATTAATTTTTTCCTCTATATATAAACATGCTTTTTTAATTATTTATTTATTCATTGCATTACAAATTCTTTATTGGGATACAAAATAATTATGAAAATGAATTAACAACATTATATGAATTATCTTTTATTTTTTTTCTAAACGATTGATTTGTTATTATCGAAAGAAACGATAGGAATTGTTTTTTTTGTTTGTTTGTTTGTTTGTCCCCCCATCCAGAAAATGGAAATTTACGGGCACATTACACGAAGACCACCGTAAGGGCTGGCGAGGTACTACGTTTGACAGCTGTTTTCCAAGACACACGACGTGCACCAGTTTCAAACAGTGGCATATCCGGTGTGATAGCTGGCATTCCGGATGGCAAAAGTTCAAGATCGTCTGAGAGAGATCAGTACGCCCAATGTTTAGATTCTCACGGACACGAGCTATTTGCACAGCTCTCAGCAAGAGGAGAATTTTATGCCACCTGTCAAGGTGGTACCCTTGATACTGGAAGTGATGCAGTTCTTTATAGAGTTCATCAATTAGCTAGGAGAGATTTACCACTTAGGGTAAACATTTTTTAACAACATTATTTTTCTAATTAATAAAATAAAGCTAAAACTATGAAAAGATATTACGAATATACGTTGTTAAATTTTTATTAAATAAATTAAATAAAAAAACCTTTTTGTATTATCAAATGTTTTATTTAAAATTGAACTTAAACCAATTTGAAACAACGTTAACCACTCATTTTGTATTATTTCATAGGTACGTTTAGTTGCTGGGCCTTTACCAATACCATTACCACGAGATTATAGTGGATTGATGCAATTAGAAGGTGCAACGAAGGGACCAATAGTATTGGGATGTGCAGTACCATTAATGCCTGAACGACCTTTGCCAAATTCAACTGTACCAGAATTACTGGAACTCGTAGCTACTGGTCCAACTGCGCCAAGGGTGAAAAGAGCACGATTAGGGTGTCCTTCCGAAGCGAGATTATTGGCTTCACCGAAAATGCAACGATTGTTATCGGCATGCAGGTAATATTGAATACAATCTTGAAAAATTATTATTTATTATCTTTTATTATTAACACGATCAAAAGAGTTCAAATGATTTGAATTAAAATTATTCGGCAAAGACGACAAACATAAAACGTATTAAAAATATTCCATTTAAAAACGAGATCGTGATCACTTAGGATGAATCGAATGAACAAAATCTAATATTCAAAAATATCGCACGGTTATTTATTTATATTACAGAAGAGCATTGGATCAAAGAGCAACTGAACCACGCGTGGCACCACCTAAACCATGTATCAACGGTGGCCAATTGAAAGAATTAAATTTAAAGGAAATCAAATCTAAGCCCGAACCTAAACCGATACTTCAAAGTCTTAAAGAAGGTTTAGAAAATATTAAAAGAAGTACGATACGTGATCGTAGCAATGGGAGAAACGTTAATAATAATAATAATAATAATAATACTGGTTCAAACAATCATCACAGTTTCTTAGATAAAATCTCTAGGATAGCCCAAGGCGGTAGAAGCCGTAATCCAGCGAAAAAGTCAGCGTCCTTCACCTTCGCCGTGAGACCGGAAATTGGTATGAGATCGCCAGAAAGATACGCGAGTCTTGAGTCGGAAACGAATCTCACGCATGGGTCGGGTTCTTCTTCAAGGCACCAGGTTCAAAGATCGATCTCAACTAGTGTACTAGAAGTTCAGTCACAGGCTGATGCAGCAGCCGATCCTCCTTATTCCAAGGTCAGGGATAGTTTAACCCCATTGCCACCGCCTACACCACCACCGAGAACCGAAGACATTTATGCTGAAATCTGTGAGCCACCGGACAGAAACATTTTTCGTGATTTTACGAAAGAAGACAAACCACCCCCACCACCACCGATAAGTAAACATCAATCACAGGGTGGTAGTGGTACTGGTGGTTGTTCTAGTGGTAGTGGTACAAGGGAAAAAGACAGGGGTTACGTTAAATTGGCACCAACGCGATCGGAACATTCAGACGTTTCAACGAATACAATTAACGGAGACGATGAAGGAATTTACAACACTGTCTGTTGATATAATTATACTTATTTTTTCTCTTCTCCTCGATTAACAATCGGTAAAGTAGAATGTTAAGTGAAGAAGAAGAAGAAGAAGAATGAGTGAGTGAGTTAGTGAGTTAGCTAATCGAAGATTGGCCAGAACATAGAAAATAGTAGAAAACCCTAAAAGGATGTGAGAGAGAGAGAAAGAGAAATTAATAATGAGATTGGATAGTCGATGAGATGATGGTTGCTAGAAACGTGGACATCCTCGACTAGTAAGATGGTCCGAGAGTAAGAACAGGAAAGATTTGCAAGCAAGGCCGTTGACCGAAGAAAATCATCCTGTAATTACAGACTCGCGGACGAGCGCAACGGATATAGCGGTTTTCTCCGAAGATGGCTTTCGCAATCAGGCTTCCGGTATTACGGCGATACTGTCGTCGAGAGAGAGACTACCTCATAAGAGTTCAATGAAAATAAACGCGCATTTACGTTTTAGTTTATGGGAGGAATTTCTTGCCTGCCCATGCGAAAAACGCGTTACATCCAATAGGAAGAAAAAAAAAAAAAAAAAAAAAAAAAAAACGAAAAAGTAATTTTAACGATATACAAGATTTTCCAAATATTTCTAATTGCACATTACAATTGTTTATTTTTGTTTTTTTTTCTTTTTTTTNGGCTTCCGGTATTACGGCGATACTGTCGTCGAGAGAGAGACTACCTCATAAGAGTTCAATGAAAATAAACGCGCATTTACGTTTTAGTTTATGGGCAAATGTTTGGATAAAATTTTTCTATTCACAATGTAAATACATTTTTTATTATGAATAAAAAAAAAAAAAAAAAAAAAAAAAGGAAAACGAAAAAGTAATTTTAACGATATACAAGATTTTCCAAATATTTCTAATTGCACATTACAATTGTTTATTTTTGTTTTTTTTTCTTTTTTTTTCTTTTTTCGTAATATCAAACGTATAATTTTGGTTTGCAGATCGTTTGAAAAAAATAATCAAATGTTCGATCATCCGTTAAGAGAGAGAGAGAGAGAGAGAGAGGAAAGAAAAGTAAATGAAATAAAATTCAATAAAAACATTAGAAAAATAAAAGAGAGAAAAGAAAGGGAAAGAGTAAATCGAATGATAGAAGAAACCGGGGATAAGGGTGACAATTAATCTATTAACTCGTCATGCTCGATGAACGTTAACTTCCTATTTTCTTCTTCTGGTTCGTGCTGCTCGATTGAAAATACACTTATACAGAACCGAAGTGTATTATCGCGTGACGGCTCGCGATTGGTTCGTTCAGTTCCTTCAAACGTATAACTTTGCAAAGGAAGAAGGAAGAGAGGCCAAACCTTGCTGCTTTGCTTGTGTTATTCGGTCTTCTTCTTCATCTTCATCATCTTCTTCTTCTAGAATCACAGTTTCAAGCGCTTCGAGGAAACTGCCAACCCTTTGCATGATGAAACGTTGGAATGGAGATTGTGGAAAAAAAACGACAATAAAACGAAAAAAAAAAAAAAGAAAAAAGAAAGGTACGAAACGAAAAAAGAAAATACCAAGTTAAGAAGAAGAAGAAGAAGGGAACAGAGAAAGGATGCAAAGAAAGAGAAAGAGAATGAGTGGAACGAAGGTCGAATGAAAAGGCTGGAATAAGAAAAAGCCCGCTGGGAAGATACGTTAGAGAAAAAGAGAGAGAGAGAGAGAGAGAGAGAGAGAGAGAGAGAGAAATATGCATCGAAAAGCTAAAGCTTCGAAGAAGATGTGTAATCTTCTCTAATTCGATGTTCCTCTCTCCTACGTACGCGTATACGCGAATGCTGTAATATTACTGTAATATTTGTATGTTTTGTGTATATTCCAAGCGTCTAGAAAAGATAGATAGATAGATAGATAGATAGATAGATAGATAGATAGTTAGATATATCATCGATGAAGTGAAAACGAAAAGAGGAAAAAGAAATAGAAAGAGAGAAAGAAAAAGAATTGTGAAAATAAAAGTAAAAAAAAAAAAAAAACAAAAAAAAAGAACAAAAAAATATACTTATATTTTTTATCACAAAAGTCTCTAATCGTACCATATATTTATTATCCATCAACATTCAAATCACACATTCCATTATTTTCCCTATATTACTGCATTACAATCCGATATATATATATATATATATATATATATATATATATGAACAATATCTATAATACATATACATACATATATACAGGATCGTTTGAGATGAGATGAGATAAAGAAAGATCCTTAATTAAATTGCATCGTGACGTTAAGAAAAAGATAACAATCTATTTCAATCCGTGAGAATAAATTTGCGACAGATGTTGCAAGTATGCATGCACATACTCATGCACGCGTATATCGTAGTGTTATTTTGTAAAATCATTTAAAATATGTATAAAAAAAAGCAAACCCCATGAAAATTTAAATACCAAAAGACAAGACAAGACAAGAGAGAGAGAGAGAGAGA